TCAATAAAGCAAGTAAGGATGCAAAATTAATGTTTAAAGGGTGGCGTGTCTAATATGGGCAATTATATGCTTAAATTCTACAAGTTTATATGACATGTACAGTTTGAGTGTAGAAATTTCAAATGGTCAGTTATGAACTTAAAAGCCATTCACACAACCACAGAGACAGTTTGTATTATGTAGTCATTGCATAGGCAACGGGTTATCTCTCTGTTTGGTCCTTTCCTCACACACTGGGGCTGATGCCTTTTCCTAAATCTGACATGGCACTTCAAGTACAATTATTCCAACTATTGCCACTATATTTTCCTTATTTCTGATGGTTCATAGCAAATGCAGGAACATGTAACATTGTGTTTTGTCCAAGTAGTTCATACTAATACCATGAAACACGGCTGCAAAGCTGGATTTTTGTCAGATCAGCTGCCACTTCACAGCAGAGGATTATTTATGCATTTACTTGCTTGTCAGAGCAATTTTAATTTAAGCATTAATTGTTTGTGCTGATGAATATGATTTATATCTGAATACCTGATTGGTAGACCCAGTACAGGCAGAGCACTATTTGACAACATTTGACAGTTTGTAACAACACAGAGAGCTATTTGCTGATGCAAACTGTGAGTCTGAATTTGAAACACAGGCTCATATCAGTGAAACCTGCTTGCTCTCTAACAGGCATGCCAGAATTCTGTCTGAGGCACACATTTCAGCCTGTTTTTCAACATTTCCCCTTCCCTTTTGTTTAATCTTTAGTTAAAGTTGCACCTGTACTTGGCAGCGTACATGAGCTGATCCCTTGAGTAGCCACAACAACGTTCATTGGGGTTCCTTCGTGGCAGAGGCAGCCTTCTCCTGCTTTGACAGTGGCTTCAGCGTCGTTCGGTTGCTGCCATGTGGTCCGAGCTACTGCAGGAGTGACCTTTCCCTGCTAACCCCCTGCAGAAAGTCAGATACACCATCACTGTGCAGCATTTCACTGTGGGCAGGAAGAGTAGGGGCAGAGGAAAGACAGGAGATCGGTATAGACAATGGCTTTGTCTCACTAATAGGCCAGAGATACCACTGCATGCCATGAGGGGTGGGTAAAGAAAGGGCAGAGAAAGGCACCCTGAGATGTGGGAATAGATGGGAATTGTCTCTCCTCCACACACTGATCTCTAGTTGCCTGCTTTCCACCCTAAAAGAAACCAGGCTGGAAAAAAAAGTGCAGATGAGGAGCCTTCTGGTTCCTTCATAACTGGCCTTTTCAGACAGAAAGATTAAACCCTGCAGCCACAAGACCATCAGTTCTGCTTGTATTTTTTCCTTGCACTTTTATTGTGTTTCTCCCTAGATTTTAAATATAGTTTAACTAACAATCATGTCAGCAAATTAAACCGTTGAGTCTCGGTAATTATTGCAATAAATTCATTCAAAATTAGCAATTACTGCAATCAAAGACCAGTTTCTTAGCCCATTAACAGCCCAAAGCAAAGTGACAATCTGGTTAACTGCTAGTAACAACCTATTTCATGGAGGTTATTGTTAATGTAAATGCTTTGGCATAAATCTGGGGAAGGTAACATTGCTAAACAAATTATCAGCTTAATTCCTGTGAAAACTCATAGGATTAAGTGGGCAACGAGAAAACGAAACAAAATGAAAAACCGTTATGTAGAGAAAAGCCACGTCCTCAAGTGCATTTTCCTTTGTGGTTAAGCCTTTCCACCCACAGAATGACTCGTGTGCCAGAGCTGCGTAGCTGCACCTGCATCTTAGTTTGTTCCATCTTGTATTTGAGCCCAAAGATGAAGTGACCTGGTAAAGTTTTAATTAATGAAGTTTTTACCATGGTACCTGCAGCCTTCTTAATTTTTTCTTGTACTACTGTCTTTATTCCATCCACCTGTGTGGCAGCTGAGGAATGTTGCTTCGGTTGCTTTTTATGTGCATTGTATTTCCCCATGCAGTGGTAGACTGTGCAAGCATCATAGTTCTGCATTAGCCCTGGGAATAGCCATGGATGCACTAAAGGAACCTCACTAGTGGTGTGGGGTCAGGTCCTAAAGGAGACTCGGCCAGTGGAGACCTGGCTCACATTCAGTTTCCCTTCAGACATTTTTGAGATAGATGTGGCAGACACAGTTGCTTTTCCCTTTGCAAAACTGAGCCAGGGAGAAAGAAGAGCTCCAGGCTCCTCTATGCACAGAGGTGTTGAGAACCACTTTGCTCTGTGCTCCCACCCATATATGCATGTCCAGGGTACCCTGTGTAGGACACTTGTTTGGGGGGCAGGGGGCTTGGATTCTGCTGCTGGCTTTTTCATTAACTGGGTCTGCTTCACCTCTGTATGATCCAGTAACACATGCACACCTTCCTTGGGCAGTGCTGACCCACCTTTGGAAAACTTTCCTCTGGAGAAAGTTCAGAGTATTATAGTGCTATAGCTACGGTAACTTGTCTGAGTTCCAAAATGCCCCTTGGGGGTGAGTAAAAATAACAGATGGGGCTTTGAGAGAGAATTTTTTGGAGGACATGCTGCAGAACTACATGTGCATAAAATCAGTCTCCTCGAAGACTGACAGTCTCTTTCAACCTGGTTGTTTTCCTTTGCTCTTCTTCAGGCCCAAGTGTTTTCTGAGCAGGACAGCATCCATACCAGTCCTACTGTAAGGCAGTATGAATTCTGTGCTCACTTTATTCTTCAGTCTGAAGGTCATTAATATTAGAAAGTTTCACATAAGATATTTTTAACTCTGCTTCAATCAAATGAAAAAAGTTTTGATATCACTCTGTGATTTCACAGATGGGCTAAAATATTTTTGTGTCACCAAAGGTCCAGAGTAGGGGAATGACCAAAGCAGGTATAGATACTGATGCCAGTGTGAAACTGCAAAAGAGTTCAGACTGAAATGAGAGCTCCAGAATGAGTAAGGAAACTTGGGTTGCCCTCTCCTCTTTCCCTGAGTACTTTAAGGAAAAGTAGATCCATAATTCCTGACACTGACTGAAAGTGACTGGGAACGAAACATAAATTCTTGTTGACTTAATTTGTTATTGAAATTCTAGTCAATAATTGTGAAAAGTAAATGATCATGTAGTGCAATATTAGATGTCTAACAAAAGATTAAAATTCAGGTTACCTTCATTGACTGAAGTAGGACAGTAGCTAAGATAAAAATCTATGAGTAGATTAACATGTTAAACAGACAGTGGGATGTTGCGTTTTCTTTCTTTTTCAAAGGATTCCAGGGAAGAAAGGTCTAGCAGGTTTTTTTTGTTCTTAATGTGTATCACAGCTGCCATTTCCAGCCAGCTCACAATTTCTGTACATAAAACAGACAATAGATTATCATATTACTTGAGCTTTCATGTCAAAACCACATTCATTTTCTGAATCACGTTCAATTCATCAGCCAATATTTGCTCAAGGGCTTTTGCCAGCTACAATGTATCATTTTAATATAGTGTTGAACATTGGTTTTATTCTGGAGGTCACATAATTATTATCTTGTTATTGTTATGGTTGTCATTTTGTAGTTGTTATAAATTCTTTTTTTTTGTTCGCATGCCATGTGCTGTTATGGTTTTTTGCAAAGGTTGCTTATGTGGCCCCTAATCCACCTCTTAAAAAGATGCTTAATGTTAAATACATAAATAGTCATACTTGATGTCAAAGGAACTAACCCCCTGCATAAAACTTTCCAGAACTTTGCTGAGTCAGAACCTCTATGACCTCTCAAATGAAGACTGACTCAAATTAGCATTTAAATTGTGTGCAATTTGTACTAATGCACTGGAAGTTGTCCTCCAAAGCAGGAGGTTTCTGCAGCCATCGAACTGGCAGAAGAAGCTCTTCTGTTTTCACTGCTTGTCCCCTTTTGACTTAGCTCTGAGGACATGGGGACTGAAGGACATAGTTGAGGGCAGAGCTGGCTTCTCAGTAAATGAAATCTAGGGCTTTGTGCTAGGGAGGATTAACCAAGGTTCTTGAAATGCAACTGGTTCTTATCTGTGTCCCAGGAGCAGCAGTAGCTCAGTGAAGAAGGTGGCAAAGAAAAGAGAAGAGAAGCTGTTCCCTCCTCCTTTATCCCCTCTCTTGGACGAGCCTGTTCACCGTCGGCACAGCAGTGACAACAGCTCCTTCAGCCAAGAGACCAACATCACAAACACCTCTCAGACCAGCAGCTCTTCCTCCTCTGTTTCTAAACACAGAAAGAATGAAAATAAATCCTCTTCTAACCCCAAAGGAATCTGTGTAAGTAACTGGCCTCAGTTGCTGGAAGTGAACAAGATGAAATAAAATTAACTTTGCTTTGTTCTTTTTGATTTTTTTTTCCAGTATCTATTTTTAAATGCTTATGTAGCCCCACTCAAGAGCAGCCAGGAGTGGATCTTTGCAGGGCTGGGCATGAGCAACTCTTTCAAGTTCCATTTTTAGGTCAGCATTAGGCATCTACTTGGCATTGTGTACCACTCCCTGAAACACTCCAGCCCTGAGCCTCAGAGGAGAGCCTTTGCAGTCACCAACTAGCTGCAGTTAGTCCTTTAACTCTGCAGCTAAAACACACACATTTTAAAAATAAAACTGCAAGAATTTTGGTGTCTGTCACCTGGATAGTTACACCAAATCCTCAACCAGAATTAAGCACTGTAGGTATACTGAATATCGTGGTCTGAACTAAACAGACAATAAAAATCTATCAAAAAGCTGCCTGTCCATGGTACACTCAACATGGAAATATCTTCTGTCAGGTTTGCAGGCTCCCAGCTTCCAGCAGTAAGGTTTATTTACACCTAGTCTCCATGAATTATATATATAGGCTTTTAAATACCATGTAAGCAGTGGGGTTAAAAAAAAAAAAAAATCATTCAGTTAGGGCCATCTCCACATCAAAGGTTTTCACATAGACAATTCTTTCTTCTTTCCTTTTCACCAGATTCAGATTTTTTTTTTTACTGAAAACACATGAAAAAGAGCTGAAACTAGAAGCTGCATAGCAAATTCACTAAAAAAAGTTAACATTTCACATCAGTTTGTCGTCCTCTTTTAGGTTAAACAGGGAAACTTCACGGGTTTGGCCCATTTTAGAAAATAGTCCTCCCTCTAGAGTTTCAAACATATAATTTAATATCAAACTGTATCTGATTATTCACTGTCAAAATTAAAAGACAAGAAGAAAATTCTGCCACAAAAAATGACATGCATAGCCCCATTTTTCACAGTTGGACGCCTTGTGAGAGGTGGTTGCCCTGCACTGTGGCAGTAAAACTCACCAGTGGCATGGGATCGTCGGTGACAGATCGCTTCACCTTACTCATTCATCCCTGGTGCTTTCTGATATCACTGTGTCACTTCAAGCTGTGAGAGCAATGCGCACGCCTTCAACTGAAATCAGTGCCAAAATGAACTGCATATGTCAGCAAATAAACAATGCTATGTAAACAGCAGGGCCACTTCCTCTCACTCCCAGCATCTCGCGTAGATTTATCCTTGGTTTATCTGTTATCCTGATATATTAAATACTTGTCTTCTAAAATATGTTAGACTTCTTTCCC